GGCCTCCCGACGCGAGCCATCTGGCGACGGGCGAGGCGCCACATCGCGGCCCGGCGCGTGGCGCTTTGGGCGCGGCTCGCCATCACCGGCATTGCGGGCCATGGGAGGTAGGTAGACGGAGGCGGGAGGCGGGATACGAGACTCGACCGGTGGCGAGGGCGACGCAGGGGAGGACGCGAGGAGGAGGCGGGGTGGCGGCGAGAAGGGTGCGGGACGGGGCTGGGGCGGGGGGCTAGCGGCCAGCGAAAACCCTAAGGAGGGGAGCTGGGATGGGCTAGGATCGAGGGGAGGCCCACGAGGCCCAGCATGGGCCGGCCCAACCGAGGAGGGCTAGGGGGAGGGAAGGAGACCCCCCGACGTGGACGGCCCACAAGGCCCATGTCGGCCCAACCCAACACACGAAGGCGCGTGGGGGGAGGGAAGGGTTCCCACCTGCATCCGCAGCGCCACCGGCGCCGGAGGGGAGAGTGGCACAGCCGCGATTGGCCGGAAAGCCCGGAACTTTGGGCCCCCACATAATGCGGTGGGCGGAGCCAAGCCGGGAGGAGGCAATTCCAGCCCTGGAGGTCGACGAACGCCAGCAAAGCGCCGCCACGAGATCGCCGCTGCCCCGAGATCGGCCCGTCCGGCCACCCCCCAGTTCAAGGACCGGGCCCCACGCCCCTGACGACTAGCACTGTTGCCAGCGCCAGGGGGAGATGGGGAAGGTGGTGCAAGCGGGCGGGAGCCGCCGCGCTGCAAAGGACGGGGAGGGGGGAGCAGGGAGGGGAACGGCGGGGGGTCCGCGCGGAGGAAACCAGGAGAGGGAATCGCCTCACCGGCCAGTGGAGCCGTGGGGGGAGCCGTGGGGGGAGCCGCGGCGACAGCCTCCGCCAACCGGTCACCGAAACGCCGGGGAAGGAGGAGAGCGCCGGCCGCAGCTGCGACGGCATCCGCGAGGTCCTCCTCCGCAGCCACATCCGCCCACCGCACGCCGTCCGCGCGAGGAGCGGGAGAGGACGGGAGGGAGGGCGGGGAGGGCCGGGGCACCGCCGCCGGAGGGGCCGTGGAGAGGGCCGGGGCGGGCAGCAGGGCACCGGCGAGAGGCGCGGCGGCAGGAGCAGCGCAGTCGCCCATCGCCGTATACATCATCATTGGCAGCTTCTTCTTAAGGCTATGGAATCAAAACGCATGATAGTTGCCACCAATTCAAACACCAGGTTTGTACTACTCGGGAGGCCTACTCAACTACTTTGGCATGGTTATCACAACCTAGTAAGTAAACACTAAATGTGATCAAGGGTAGAAGAGCTTGGAGTAGAGGAGTTCGTTCCACGTGTCCTGGAGCCCCGGGAGGCACCAGTGGACGCAGTCGGCGTAGGTCCTGGGGTCGGCGACCTGCTCCGGCGTCAGCGGGTTCCACTGCTTCTTGTAGATGGAGGTGTGCGCGTCCTTGCGGTACATGGACAGCTGCGTCACGTTGAGGAACGTGAGCGGCACGTCGGCGCCGTCGCCGTCGAGGATCTCCCTGATCACCCGCATCACGCTCCGCCGCCCGTCCGTGCCCCAGTACCCGGCGTCCTCGATCATCGCCGTCTCGTTGTAGCAGTTGCCCCCCGGCGCGTCCCCCCAGTCCTGGCTCTTGCCGTGGGTGGGCGACATGCTGGTGAAGAAGACCCTGGTGGTGTTGAAGTCCATCTTGTCCCTCACCCACTGCAGCATGTCGCGGAACGCCATGCCGTAGGCCTCCTCGGTCGACACCCACACCGCGTCCTCCTCCCTGGCCTCCGCGATCGGCCCGTTCATGACCCTGAAGCGCAGCCCGGTGCACCACCAGAGGTAGGTGTTGAAGACCAGCACGTCGGCGCCCTCCCAGTGGTGGCCGTGGTGGGAGATGGAGCCGTTGCGCACCATGCGGTCGGAGATCTTGTGCACCACGGCGTCGTCCGCGTTGGACTGCAGCAGGAAGGGCGCCCAGTAGAACTCCACCGTCGCGTTGTACTCCCTGGCGGTGAACACGGTGTGCTGCTGGTCGGGGGACATCTCGAAGGACTTGGCCTCCGGGGACGGGATGGCGGACTGGAGGAGGCACACCATGGACGTGAACTGCCCGCGGTTCAGCGAGTCGCCCACGAACATCATCCGCTTGTTCCGCAGCGTCTCCAGCATCTGCGTCGGGTTGAAACTGCGCATACATGCAGCAGAGAGAGGTTAGTTCAGCAGAGGAGTCCCGTCACGATAATGGCGGAAGAATAGAGAAGATGGGAGACGGCGTACGCGGGGAGGGTGCAGTCGTGCGGCTGCCATCGCCAGGACTGGTAGCCCCTGTCGGGGCGCCCCTGCGCCTGGCAGGTGAGCTGCGGCTGGATGTAGGGGCACTCCTCCTCCCGGTACAGCGGGTGCGCCTCCTCGTCCTGCACCCAGCTCCCCGAGAACACGTCGCACTCCTCGTCCTCGTCCTCGTCGTTCACCGCGAACGCCAGCCTCCCCTGCCACCTCTTCTTCTTCCTCTGCCACCCATCCTCCACCCCCGATCCATCTTTTTTTTGGAAAGATCGATCAGTACGTCCATATTACACGCTGCTGGCAACAAATTAATCCTGCGATCGATCGTGAACGTGATACTTACCGGGCGGCTGCTGATGCTCGCGGTTGACGCTGACGTCGAAGTGCGCCGAATGTCGACCAGCTCGCTGGCCGATGAGCGCCGCCAGCTCTTCCCCGTAGAGGAAGGAGAAGAGGAGCATGAAGAGCAGCGACAGCAGGATGAACGGCGAGAGCCGCGCCTTCTTGGCGACCAGCGAGAAGGTGGCCGCGGCGGCGGCGGCCGAGGACGAGGAGTGGGCAGGCGCCTTCACCATCATATCCCTGGTCGATATGATGATCCCCTGATCAATCTCTTTGCTTGCAGAATGCGGAGAGCGTGATGATGGTGGCAGCAGTGCAAAGTTCCTAAGTGGGGGACATATTATATAGGCTGATTCAGTTGCCACCATGAGTTCTTCACCGTTGCGAGGTCGCTGTCTCGGAGTGCCTCGGCCGGTGATAGGAAATGCCTTCTTTTTTCTCTCTTTCGCCTAGGAAAGATAAGGAAGATCCTTCTAAACTGTTTGTTGTGCGCAGGGCAGGTGCGGGGGTTGGCGCGGATCACATGCTGAACCCATTAATCCCAAAAGCAAGAGAAACTGAGAATGTCTGAACTGGGTTGTCTTCTCACTCAGTGGCTATTGGCAGGTTCGGCACCAGCCTGTAAGTAGAAGACATGTGTACTGACATGCATGCACCAACAAAAGTGCATCAAAATCAAGCGTGTTGGCCTGTTTCATCGGCGATCCTGCCGCTGATCTGCATCTATTTATGTACTGTACAGCATTGTACCTTCCTCGCTCTACCCTATATCTGCAGGAACCGATACCAACTATCAGGTAGTCTGTCGGTTAAAGGCAAAATGGAAAATAAGCAGCAAATTATGCTTCATCATAACGCATAGTAAGAGTTTAGTCCATGTCTCTATATTCCCTTGGCTGATTGCAATGCAAAATTAATTGATTTTCTTCTTACATTCCACCTCTAAGAAGAATCTGACGGCTTGAATCCATCCTAAACAGGGCTTGCGGAACAAGTGTAACTCTGAGTAACCTCTGAGAACAAGATGAAATGCATTTTTCTCTGCACCAGTGCACGAGGCTGCAGCCGAAACTAATCCACAACAAGACTTACAGAACAAGCGTGGTTGGTGATCCACACAGCACAGCACACAGTAATGCTGATAAACCAACTGTTTTTTCTTGGATTCTAAGCCAAGAGAGCTGGAAAGAGCTGCGGCTGCATAATTCCATCACAATTAACCATCAGATGTACCTCCGATCCAGCTCCACGTCATGTCAGAATGGTTGTTCTGATTGTTCGGTTGGACCAACAGGCATCATGTCCATCTCCTTTCCTCTTCACCTTTTTATGTTCTTATTTTCTGATATTCATTTTTTTTACAACACTTCAGCAATATACAAGTCAGACCTCTTCAGAAAAATAAAAGGCTTCTGCCCAGCTTTAATTATAACGGATTTAATGCATGTCATCAAATATTATATTGTTGAATTCATATTTGAATATAATTAAAATGACCCAAAATACGAGGGAGACCCGTAAACCAGGACGGAGGTAGTAATTCTCATCTAGATAAGAATTAACTATGTCTTATCTAACTTCTATGCCATTCGACCTTCATGCGCTAAGATTCGTTTTCCATGTCGGTTGTAGGAGGGTTTGTGGGGAGAGAGACCCAAATCCATGTCTTATTTTTACCCAAATGTTAGATTTTTAAGGTTTCGGATCGAACATTGTTTTACCGTATGATTTTGTGGCACGAATCACGAAACAAAGCCACTTCCACGTCACCTTTTTCAATCGTTCGCGTTGACGCGGAATGAATGACTGTCTACTTGCTTTTCCCTTTATCACCCGCATTGCCCTCGACTTGCTCTTTTCCCCCACTCTTTATGGAAAATGTTTCAAGTCTACAGGCCGGCCGATGCTTCGGCCGGTCGCGTCCATGCGTGCCCTTCCCAGCCATCCACCAAGCAACACGTAGGATGCCCCCATCCAGGCTGCCATCTCCCATTTTTCTTTCACCTCCGCATCTCTCTCCCCCTTGCGGATCTGCAGCAACTCTCCTCCCTTCTTCCCCGGCGAGCGTGCACCTCATCTCTCCTCCCTCCTAGACCAGAGCGGATGGGTGCTACATCCATTCACGCCGGAGATGCGCCGCCTCGACTATGGTGCCATTTTTTTTGTCCCAAACAAGCGAAGCTTCAACGACACCGCATTTTTGCTACAAACACGGTGCCAAATGCTACAACCACCTCCAAGGGAAGCTGCAACCAGCGTCGACGTAACCTACAACGGGCCCGGTGACTTCTGTATTTTTCTACAACCGGCTCCGTTGTTTGCTACAACCGCCTACTTTTTTTTTGCTACAAATCGAGGATGGCGAGCGTGGTGACCGCACACAACGACTTGTTTTTCTTTTTGCTACAACTGACTTCATTTCTTGCTACGATCGGCTTCTTTTTTGCTACAGTCGAGGCTCGTGAGCGTGGTGATGCGGGCGGCGAGTGAAGGAAATATGCCCTAGAGGCAATAATAAAGTTATTATTTATTTCCTTATATCATGATAAATGTTTATTATTCATGCTATAATTATATTAACTGAAAACATAATACATGTCTGAATACATAGACAAACTTAAATGTCACTAGTATGCCTCTACTTGACTAGGTCATTAATCAAAGATGGTTATGTTTCCTAACCATAGACATGAGTTGTCATTTGATTAACGGGATCACATCATTAGTAGAATGATGTGATTGACATGACCCATTCCGTTAGCTTAGCACTTGATCGTTTAGTATATTGCTATTGCTTTCTTCATGACTTATACATATCCCTACAACTATGAGATTATGCAACTCCCGTTTACTGGAGGAACACTTTGTGTGCTACCAAACATCACAACGTAACTGGGTGATTATAAAGGATCTCTACAGGTGTCTCCAAAGGTACATGTTGAGTTGGCATATTTTGAGATTAGGTTTTGTCACTCCGATTGTCGGAGAGGTATCTCTAGGCCCTCTCGGTAATGCACATCACTATAAGCCTTGCAAGCAATGTAACTAATGAGTTAGTTATGGAATGATGCATTACATAACGAGTAAAGAGACTTGACGGTAACAGGATTGAACTAGGTATTGAGATAACGATGATTGAATCTCGGGCAAGTAACATACCGATGACAAAAGGAACAACGTATGTTGTTATGCGGTTTGACCGATAAAGATCTTCGTAGAATATGTAGGAGCCAATATGAGCATCCAGGTTCCGCTATTGGTTATTGACCGGAAACGTTTCTTGGTCATGTCTACGTAGTTCTCGAACCCGTAGGGTCCGCACGCTTAAGGTTTTGATGACAGTTATATTATGAGTTTATGAGTTTTGATGTACCGAAGGTTGTTCGGAGTCCTGGATGTGATTACAGACATGACGAGGAGTCTCAAAATGGTCGAGACATGAAGATTGATATATTGGAAGCCTGTATTTGGATATCGAAAGTGTTCCGGGTGAAATCGGGATTTTACCGGAGTACCGGGAGGTTACCGGAACCCCCCTGGGGCTTAATGGGCCATAGTGGGACTTAGTGGAGAAGAGGAGAGGAGGCCAGGGCAGGGCCGCCCCCTAGTCCGAATAGGACAAGGAGAGGGGGGCGGCGCCCCCCCTTTTCCTTCCTCTCTCTCCCTCCTCTTTCCCCCTTCTCCAAGTCCAACAAGGAAGGAGGGAGTCCTACTCCCGGTGGGAGTAGGACTCCCCTTGGCGCGCCTCCTCCCTGGCCGGCCTCCCCCTCCCCCCTTGCTCCTTTACATACGGGGTCAGGGGGCACCTCTAGACACAACAATTGATCTTTTGATCTCTTAGCCGTGTGCGGTGCCCCCTCCACCATAGTCCTCCTCGATAATATTGTTGCGGTGCTTAGGCGAAGCCTTGCGACGGTAGAACATCAAGATCGTCACCACGCCGTCATGCTGACGGAACTCTCCCTCGACACTCGGTTGGATCGGAGTTCGAGGGACGTCATCGAGCTGAACGTGTGCTAGAACTCTGAGGTGTCGTAGTTTCGGTGCTTGATCGGTCGGGCCGTGAAGACGTACGACTACATCAACTGCGTTGTTCTAACGCTTCCGCTTTCGGTCTACGAGGGTACGTGGACACACTCTCCCCTCTCGTTTCTATGCATCACCATGATCTTACGTGTGCGTAGGATTTTTTTTGAAATTACTACGTTCCCCAACAGTGGCATCCGAGCCAGGTTTTATGCGTAGATGTTATATGCACGAGTAGAACACAAGTGAGTTGTGGGCGATACAAGTCATACTGCTTACCAGCATGTCATACTTTGGTTCGACGGCATTGTTGGATGAAGCGGCCCGGACCGACATTACGCGTACGCTTACGCGAGACTGGTTCTACCAACGTGCTTTGCACACAGGTGGCTGGCGGGTGTCAGTTTCTCCAACTTTAGTTGAACCGAGTGTGGCTACACCCGGTCCTTGCGAAGGTTAAAACATCACTAACTTGACAAACTATCGTTGTGGTTTTGATGCGTAGGTAAGAACGGTTCTTGCTCAGCCCGTAGCAGCCA